TCCCACCACACACACACACACACACACACACACACACACACACACACACTCCTTCCCCCAAAGCACAGGTGCACAGAGTCGATAGCTCGCCCTGCACCTGCAGACCTCCCCACACATACATTTTCTCCACGCGTGCACGACCCGACCACCTGAGTGTACATTACCACAAACACACCCAGCTACAACATGTACATATCACACCCGTGCGCCAGAGCATGCACACGGCACACGCGTTTACCCACCCCACACACAGCAGGCAGGCAGCCGGGTGTGCCTGCTTCGAATTCCAGCTCACACGCCACCCTGAAACGGAGACACAAAACTGTAGGGAGATGTGTGCTTCCGTCTCCATCATACTCACCCACCTCACCACCCATCGCACAGGTGTGCACACGCCCATTTAGAGGCACGACACTGCGCCATCGCTCCCCTCTGTGCTAATTATTGCTGACATTTTTTCAGTACTTCCTCCATGCCAGGCTCTGTTCTGGATTTACTCATCAACTTCTGACACCAGTCCTCTGGGCTGGGGAATTTCACTATCCCCATTTACCAGGGGTGAGGGGGGGTGGGGATGGGTGGGGAACCCAGACACAGAGAGATGAAGTAACTTGCCCAAGGTCACTCAGCTAGGAAGAGGTGGTGGCCAGGATCACGACAGCCTGGTTCAAAGTCTTCATACTGCCGTTGTTCAGTACTGGCCACTCCATAGTTGCATATCCCCCTTCCTCACACACGGATATGCCCAAGCATCACAGCAGCGGGTGCAGGGGACACACCCACGGAGGCAGGGCAGATCCCATAGGGCAGTGATGAGAATATCCCTTCTCCCAGCTCCAGCAGCTCCTCCAGGGCCACCGGCTGGAGCTCAGGCACCTGCAGAGGGCAGTTCCAAGCAGCCTCTGGATGTTCCTTCAGCTGTGGGCTCCGGGGTACCACATATGAGCTGACGCAGGTGCCAGCCCAGCCCCGGGAGCCCAGGTGCTGAGCAGCTGGGCCTGGGGAGAGAACAGCTGCCCGTGTTGGCGCCAGCAGCCAGAGGGGGTGGGTACCCTTCTACAAGTTACAAAGCCCTTCCCGGGCCTGTGCATTGTCTCCCAGCGAGGGGTCCCCAGGCCCATGACAGGCACCCAAGAGGCTTGGGCTCTGCGGGAGTGGGCAGCCTGTCCAAGGTCACACTGTCCTCTGCTTTCTTGGAAGACGGAAGGCTGGCTGCGTGGATTTCCAAGGCCCCTCCTGGGGCTCCCAACAGCTGAGGGCAGATGCCCTGCTTTTGCTTAGAGCCAGAAGCCTTGGCTGGCTGCCGCCACGCTGGTGACCTCCAGCAGGCTGTGCTATCCCCTCTCCGAGCCTCGGTTTCCTCCCTTGAAGAGTGGGCCCTGTGATCCCTGGCAGGTGAGCTCTGCCGGCATTGGCACAACCAGCCAGGCTGAGCTGGGGAAAGCCCTCCATGACTCACGGGTCTGGCATAGATTGGGCATGGCATGGCCTCCCACTTCCTTTCCCTCTACAGCCTCTCTCCCACTGCCCTCACCACTTCCACCCCAGCTGCCACCCCCCAGTGCTTCAGGGAACTCGGGTTGCCACTTAGATACAACCATCAAGCCTCTGGCTGAGCTGTTACCCTACTAGGAATGGGCTGCTTCGTTCCTGGCTGAATAGATGGATTGAGGACCTACTAAGTGCTTGGTTGGCCCTATTCTACCTCTGGGGATACAGCAGTGAACAGGGATGCCTGCTTTCATTGGAAGGAGACAGACACCCCCAAGTAAACAAACACACACGGCAATGCCGGTCTTGATTATATCAAAAATAAAATGGGGCTTTTGAATAAAGTCTCTTAGGGGAGGCCTCGCTGAGCTGAGACCTCAGTAATGAGAATGAGCTGGGGGAAGAGCCTTCTAGAAGGAGGAAAGGGCTATCGCAAAAGCTTGGAGGTGGAAAGCAGCTTAGCATGCAGGAAATAGCAAACAAGCCAGTGTGCCTGGAGCCCCGGTCAGGGTGGTGGGGGAGGTGAGGGTATTGGGGGTGATGAGCTTGCAGAGGTGTAGAGGGTCCCCCCTTCCCAGCTCCCCCCCAGCTGGGCAGGCCAGGCCTGTGCTGAGGACAGGGTTTGGCTTCACTCCCACGAATGATGGGAAGCTGGTGGGGGGAGCAGGGGAGTGGGGAGTGATGTGATCTGATTTACGGTTTGGAAGCACTGCTCTGGCTGCGGCAAGCTGCGTGGATTGGAGGGGCTCGGGAGGAAGGAGGGGGAGAGCAAGGAGGAGGCGACTGCAGTGGTCCAGGCAGGAGATGAGGCACCTCACTGAATGCTCACAGCTCTCTCTGCACATGCCCAGCATCTGTCTACTCCACTTCCTGGGAGAAAGCTTTCTCCACCCTACCCGCCACCCAGCCTCCCCTCATTCCCTCTACCTGAGACTCACCCTCTGAGACTGTCAATCTGAGAGTCTATGTGCAGTTGGAATCCTGTGTTGCCCCACCCTGGATCCAGCCTGCAGGAGTCTTTCAGGGAAGGCAAATGAATCCAAGAGCCAACTTCCAGGGCTGCACACAGAGCCACGCACATGTTCCTTTGCATATGTCCCCACAGACAGGCGCATACACTCACGTGCATCTGGGGCAAGGGCTTGGAGGGCAGGCAGGATGAGAGATCTAGGGGCAGGAGGAGCTCTAGAGCCTGAGATTGGTGGGCAAGACTCCTCCAGGAGGGTGTATGGGTGACGATGGCCATGTGGTAATAACAACTTAGCAAGACCTTGAGGTATCCCCTGTCCTGGGGAGTGGCCAGGGAAAAGAGAGGGGAGCAGGGCCAAGTCTCAACAACCTGAGAAGGTTCCTGGGCAGAGGCTGTGTCCCAGGATCCCTTGGGAAGTCAGCTCCATCCTTTTCCCAACCTTCAGAGCTTTTGGCTGTAGCAGAAGGGAAGAGCAGGACAGGACGGAAGCAAGCTCTGGAAAGTGGGAAGAGGAGGGTGTATGTGGAGACAAACCCAAGGCGGGATCCAAGCTTTGGAACGTTGGAGGTTTCCGGCCACAGAGGCAGGGCCTCGGGGGAGCCAAGAGAGGCGGGGAGAGACACACTCAGAAGAGCAGAGACCAACAGACCGAGACAGAAGTTGGGAGGAAAGGGACCAGAGAGAAGCTGGGAGAAGCAGGGAACAGGGGCCTAGTGATCTACACACACTTCAGTCCCCAGAGACACCCTCTCCTCAGAGACATCCTTCTGCAGCTTTGGGTGCTCCGAGCCCAGTCTGATGCAGGCAGCCTGGCTCCTTGGGGCCCTGGTGGTACCCCAGCTCTTGGGCTTCAGTCATGGGGCTCGAGGAGCCGAAAGGGAGTGGGAGGGGGGCTGGGGTGGCGCCCAGGAGGAGGAGCGGGAGAGGGAGGCCCTGATGCTGAAGGTGAGTTGGGGTGTGCTGGGGCTCTAGTGGGGGGTCTGAGGTGGGGGACTGTGGGCTTGGGAGGCGGGTATTCGAAGGTCAGGGAAATGGGCAAGGGGGAGTGATGGAATAGGCTCAGAGAATGAGGGTGATGGGTTCAGAGAAGGGGCTCAGGGCAGAGAGCCAGCTTACAGCTGGAAAGGGGTGGCTGGAGTGTCTGGGGAGTCAGACTGCTGCTGCCAGGCTGACCCTGACCACCTCTCCCCTGCCTCAGCATTTACAGGAAGCCCTGGGACTGCCTGCTGGGAGGAGGGACAAAAATCCCGAGGGAATCCCTGAAGGCAAAGGGGCTGGGGCGACAGAGAAGGACGGTCAGGGGGAGGAAGGCGAGGAGGAAGCAGTAACAACTCCCTACTCCAGCCCCAGCCCCTCTCCCACCCCTGAGGACACCGTCACTTATATCCGTGAGTAATCATTAGCCCCGCCCTGCCCCCAGGCCTCCGTGGTCACTTTCACAAAAATAAACCATCCTTTCACTGCCCCGGGATCTTTCAACTGCCCACCGCCCAGCTCGGAGTCCCCACACCCCCAGGAGCTCCGGGTCCCCTGCCTTGCCTCCCAAGAGCCCCAGGGCCACTGTCCCCTACCTTCCAGGAATCCTAAGTAACCGACCCCCCCACCCCCAGCTCCTCCCTAGAAGCCCTAGGTCCTGGTCCCCCTGGCTCCGCCCCCAGGGTCCCGATCCAGCGTGCGCCCTGTCCATCCGCAGTGGGCCGCCTGGCCGGCCTGGACGCAGGCTTGCACCAGGTGCACGTCCGTCTGCACGCGTTGGACACCCGCGTGGCCGAGCTGACTCGGGGGCTGCGGCAGCTGCGGGAGGTGGCGAGCGACACCCGCGACGCCGTGCAAGCCCTGCAGGAGGCGCAGAGCCGCGCCGAGCGCGAGCATGGCCGCTTAGAGGGTGAGTCGTACCGCGCGGGGCGGGGAAAGAGGGACGATCCGGGTTAGGTGGGGGACTGGTCGAAGGAGGGGGCCGGGAAAGGTCTGAGGAGACGTGAGGACCCTGGGTGTCAGGGGCGACGGGGGTCTTGGAGATTTGGGTGTGTTGGCTGATGAGGAGGTTAGAGTAGCAGGATGGATGAATGCGGGGAACAGGCGGGCTGTGGAAGAGGCACGCTCCCCATAGTGCCGTGGAGCGAACCCTATTCTGGCCGCACCACGCCCCCTACAGTCCCGCCCCAACAGTCTAGCCCCGCCCCTGGCGGCCCAGACTCGGCCTCCTGGCTCCCGGCGGTTCTGACCCCGCCTCCTCCCCGCCCTCGAGGCCCTAACCCCGCCTCCGTTCCGCCCCGCCCCACCCCGCCCGCAGGCTGCCTGAAGGGGGTGCGACTCGGCCACAAGTGCTTCCTGCTCTCGCGTGACTTCGAGGCTCAGGCGGCGGCGCAGGCGCGGTGCGTGGCGCGGGGCGGGAGCCTGGCGCAGCCCGCAGACCGCCAGCAGATGGAAACTCTTACCCGGTACCTGCGCGCGGCGCTCGCACCCTACAACTGGCCTGTGTGGTTGGGTGTGCTACGACCGACGCGCCGAGGGCCTCTACCTCTTTGAGAACGGCCAGCGTGTGTCCTTCTTCGCCTGGCACCGTGCACCCAGCCCCGAGCCCGGTGCAGGTCCCAGCGCCGCGCCGCACCCGCTCAGCCCCAACCAGCCCAACGGCGGCGCGCTCGAGAACTGCGTAGCGCAGGCCTCGGACGACGGCTCCTGGTGGGACCACGAATGCGAGCGGCGCCTCTACTACGTCTGCGAGTTCCCCTTTTAGCGGGGCCGGTCCGCCGCCTCTCCATTCCATCCCACCACCTGCCCTTTGACTGGGCCGTGCACCCTGCGAGGACGCCCTTCCCTCTCTGCCCGCGGATGGAAATGTCTTCCCCTTGGCTGGCCGATTCCTGGGGGGCTCCTGCGGGGTCAGGATCCCTTCCTTGCCAACCTTTTCTGGAAGCGGTGGGCACCAGAAGAGGTCTGGCGCCAATAAAGCCTTGTGCAATCTGACTTGAGTAGGCCGTGGAGGCACTTTTAGCGTATCTCTCTGCGGGGCAAGGCGGGAAGGGCAGGACGTTTCCCTTCGGATGCTTGCCCTGTCCCCTTTTTACAGGTATTATTTGAGCCCCAGATCAGAGTGATGGAGAACACATGTGCATATGTACACACAGTCATACACTCCTGCGCACAGGTGTCTGGAGTACACGGGTGCACACGCTGCTGATGCCTCCACCCACATCATGCCCCTCTCAGGGCCTCTGGGACCCAGGGTCTGTCAGTCATTGTTCCAGGCTTTGGCCTTGGTCCTGATCAAATAGATCTGTGAAGCACGATGGAGCTAAAGGTTCTGACAAGTCCTGCAGGAAAGACCCTGTTTAATGTTTTTTAGTGTATCTCAAACTTGTTTCACCAGATAGTGCCCTAACATGTGAAGTTAGGGATTGCCCTACTCCCTTCCCCTACCCCCAGGGTCAAGTGTTGAGACACAGGCAGAAGAACCTACCCAGCCTGGAAGCTTAGGTTCCCTCCCAATGATCCCTCTTCTACTCCCCTGCCTGTGAGGCCGTGAGCCAGTCCCTTCCTCACTTTGAGCCTCAGTTTCCTTATCTGAGCATGGACACAAACACCCCTACCTTGTGTGGCTCTTGGGATGTTCAGATGAGCCCAGGAAAGGCAGCATTTGGGAAATGGTGGGACATGAGCCACACACTACATTTCCTCCCGGGTCCCCAGCATCCCCTGGCACATGGGACTTCTTTGAATGAAGGAAGATGCCTGCGTGGGACCATGTTGGGAACCCTGAGATGAACTGGTTTTCTAACTGCTTCTCTACCTTCCTGGTGTACCCCAGGCCTCCATCAGTTGCCTCCCCTCGGCTCCCGCAGGGCTGGAGGCTTTCCTCCTCACACCTTCCATCACTCTTGGTGCTGTTTGGTCAGTGTTTGTCATACCAGCCAGGGACAGAGTTGTGGACACAGAGACGTCCAAAGTGGGGACTGAAGGGCATTTGCAAGGACTGTTTATGTATCAGATCAGCTCGCCTGTACACTACATTCTGGGCTGATTCCAAACTCAGGTCTGCATATGGGATCCCTGCCGCCTCTTCCAAGAAGCCCTTTCAGGCCTCTCAAGGGCCAGTGTTTGTCAGTGCCACCTCCCTGTCTCTCTGTGGAGCACTTGCGGTTTGAGAGCTCAGAGCCACCGACCAGAGAAGGCCTCAGCAGGTGGTTGGGATCGATGAGTTAAGGGATCTTAGGAAAGTGGTGGAGGAAGGGTGCAAGGCCTGAGATGACCCAGCGAGAAGGAAAAGAATCTGCGGGGACTACAAATCCCAGGAGGCCGAGCGGTAGGCCCTCTACCGCCTGCCCAGAACCACATTTCCCAGCAGCCATTGGGCGCTTGATGCAGATCCTCTCGCAAGTCCCGCTCCCTCCTCCCATGTGAGAATCGCCTACATTTCCCAGCAAACTGGAGAACCACACCCTGTGCAATGAGGTCAGAGCTCGACAGTCTGCAGTCAGAGCTCAGACCCTTGCTTCCCACCCACCGGGCTTTGCCCCAAGGTACTTTGGGAAATGTAGTCCAGTAGGAAAAGTCGACTTGGAGAGTCCAACATTCCATTAGGCTTAGAGTGTAATCGGCGCACAGACCTTTCCGCGAGAGTTTTTCAAAATACGGGTGAATTTCCACAGGTGTTTCATAACTTTCTAAAAAGTGAAATCAATTCTTAGAAAATATTAGAAGGCCAAGAAAATGGAAAGAAATTGTTCTCAAATTTTGAGTGTCTTGAGTATGTACTGAATTACAATATAAAATCCAACATAAAAATTCTCCCTTTGCCTGCAAAAAGTTTGCTAAATACTAGCCCAAACTCACTTAGCCTCTTAAAAAAAACTTTTTACTTGGAAAGAATTTCAAATTTACAGATAACCTGCAAAAATACAAATAATATCTTGTATTTTATATACTCTTTACCCAGATTTATTTGTTGTTAACAGCTCACTCCATTGCTTTAGCTTTATCATCATCGATCTATTGTCAACCTTAAAAATAAAATAGCCAGTTCTTTTACTAGCAAAATGGGTTTATTTGGGAATAGCAGAGGAATTGCAGTTCAGGACAAGAAAGCTATGGTGAACCACAGGCAAGTCCAAAGAAGAGAAGAACAAGTCAGCTTTTATTAGGTTTTAGGAGGAAACTGAGGGGGGTTGTTTTGAAGAAAAGTCCATTGGAGAAGAAGAATTGTAGGCTGTGGTGGTTTCTTATTGGCTGCAAGTGGTGGTTGGTGCCTTGTTGCTGGAGCAGGGAAGGATCTCCTTCCTTTTCTTATAACCAAGAGATAAAATTCCCATGTGAAAAATGTCCTCCCTTGTGCCAAAAGAAGAAAGTAACATTCTTATCATCATGGTTAAGAAGTTGAAGGGGAGTGGGTGTAGCTCAGTGGCAGAGTGCATGCTCAGCATGCATGAGGTCCTGGGTTCAGTCCTCAGTACCTCTATTAACAAATAAAACCTAATTACCTATCCCTGGAAAAAAATTTAAAAAAATTTTTAAAGCTAAAATAAAGGAAAAGAGATGGGAAAAATAGAGAAAAAAAGAGAAGGAAGAGAGAAATTTCTCTCTTAAGGGGAAAAAAAAGAAGTTGATACAGAGAGGATTTTGTACAAAGAATTCTATATGAACAGGCTTTGTTAAAATAATTTTTATCTTCCTTCTTCCTTCCGGTTACGCGGGCTGCAATGTGTGGTATGGGCATGAGAACTTTCCCTTTAGGGCTTCCTGAGTTGGTTTTAGATAAGGTTTTCCTTTGTTTTCACTCTATCTACCTATCTATATATCTAGCCATCCATCCAACCATCCATCCATCCAGCCAGCCATCCTTCACCCACCCTTCCATCCTAATCCAATCACCAGGGACAAATCAAAGTCAGTTTTACTGACCTACTGCAATGGAAGGGACCACATCTCAAAGGAGGAGCTGCGACTTAGCTATAAGACTTAGGGGAGGAGAGGAATTTGAGTGAAATTTAAGTGACATGTTCAGAGCAAATGAGGGATTTGTATAATTGAGTCAACATCAGGTCTGGACTTCAAAGTGGACTCAGGGTCCTGTTTCCTTGGAAACTACAAAGTGAAGATAAATGTGGCATGTTTTGTCTAAAAACTCTATCTAAAGCTCTGCTATCAGGGCTGGAAATTGAGGCTTCTTGTCTGTGTCACAATGACTTAGGTCTTCCAGGCAAGCTACTTTATTCTTATAGATACACTTTCAAATAGTTTCCAAAGTTTCCAAAAGCCTGTGATTTTAGAGAACTAAGTTTTTGAGTGAGTAAGATAGCCCTAGTTCCTCACAAAGTGGGTTGTTAAGATATTACAGCTGCAGTGTGTCCCCGGGAGAGATGTCTCCCGTTAGTGCTGCAGCTGGCTTTATCTGTGTCCCTAGATGGATGGCGGGGCAGAGTTTTACAGTCCTAGCTGGTTTTCATTTCTCAATATAGACATATATTTTCTGAAACATTTAAGGATTCATTACATCATGGCCCTTTACCCCTAAACACTTCAGTGTGTATTTCTTAAGAATAGAGACATTCTCTTACATAACCCCTGTAATCAACCTCAGTAAATGTAACATTTACATAATACTTTGTCAGATTGACCCAAATGCTGTCCTTCATAGCACGTTCCCCCTCCTGGTCAGGGTCCAGCCTGGGGTCAAGTATTCCCTTTTGTTGTCACATCTCTTGAACCTGGAACACTTTTGTATTTATGATATTGACATCTTGGAAGAACAGCTCCCCCTTACTTACTTATTTTTTAAAATTTTAATTTTTTTACAGTGTTCCTTTTAAAAACATTAAAAAATTTTTATTTATTTATGTTTAATTTGGGGGGAGGTAATTAGGTTTGTTTGTTTGTTTATTTGTTTGTTTGTTTTTAGAGGAGGTACTGGTGATTGAGCCCAGCACCTTGCGCATGCTAAGCATGTGCTCTAGCACTTGAACTATATCTTCTCAACCTCTCCCTTTTTTAAGAAATAGAAATTCTTCACTTGAGTTGCCCTGATGTTTCCTTAAGGTGATTCAATTTGGGTTATACGTTCTCCATCAGAATATATGAGGTGAGGTGTGTCCTTCGTTTTTAAGGATCAATTAAAAGAAGGGTGCGAAGCATGGGATGGCTAATTTTGTTTTAAGTTACTTTTCCGTGGTCAGTGGTTTGCCTTGAACCTGACTCCTTACTTGCTTCCTCAGGTTTTCCCCATGCTGGTCCCCTGTTCTTCATTCATTCATTTGAACAGCCTCTCCTCTGCTCCAGCCCCAAGCCACCACCTCCTTCTAAAATGCTAGCCTCCTCATTTCCAGGAGTTAAAGGCTTCTTTTCAAAGGACAGGTGGTTTGTATGAGCAGATGGCATTGTGAGCTTGGGTTTTGGAAATTCATGTAGGAAGGCAAGTAATCTTCCCCCTCAACCTCTCTTTCCACCGATTCCAAACACAACTGGACTTCGGTTTCTGATCCTGAGCAGTGACAGCTTTTGGCAGACTTGTGGGCAGGAAGCCACAGCTAGGGTGGAGTTCGGGGGACAGAGGTGGCAGGAAGTGGAACCCTAGCTCTGCCTTACAAACAATCTCTTTGGCAATTTGTGATAGCTGATACACGTGAAATAACAGAGAGGTGAATACTGAATAATGAGGACCACTCATTAACCCACCACTGTATCTAAGAATAAGACATTTTTGTTAAGTCATCCTCTCCTTATCCCATTTGTTTCCCCCCAACCTGTAACGACTAACCTGAGTTGTGTTTATCCTGCACTTGATACTCAGGATTAATCACTTGAGCACATATGTGTATCCCTACACAGCATATGATTTAGTTTTGCTTGTTTTTGAGCTTTATAGCAATGATATCTGTATCAGTGTGCTAGAAATGCCAAAACAACTTACCCAAATTCCCGCTTCTTATAAGGCCACCAATCAGCTTGAATTAGGGCCAACCCTAACAGTCTCATTTTAACTTAATCACCTATTTAAAGGCCCCCCCTTCCAAATACAGTCACATTCTAAGATTAGAAAAAGAAGCAACACTCCCTAACTTATTTTAGAAGGTTACTATGATGTTAATACAAAAACGTCAAGAGCAGCATAAACTAGGAATATCTATTTCCATTTCTCACGTGAATAAAAAAAATCCTAAATAAAATATTACCATCTTCATGAGTTTTTGGCCATATATCTATATCTATATCTATATCTTTTTTGGAAAATGCCTATTCAGATCTGCTGCCTACTTTTTAAAAATTGGGTCTTGTTACTGAGTTGTAAGAATTCTTTATATATTCTATTTTTTTTAATTGTTGCATTGGGACTTACCATACACATTTTAATTGATCAGGTTTAGATTTATAATAGTTTAATTTCAGTGAGATATAGAATCATTACTCCTATATAGCCCTATTCCCTTTTCTCTCTTTCTGTGGAATTTTTTTAATGCACATTAATGTTACAAATCCAACAATATGTTGTTATCATTAATACTTTACCATCTGTAGTCATTTCCTCAGCCCAATATAGCTTTCCTCCCACCCACCTCCTTTGTGTTGTTACAAGCAAATGTATTACATTTCTATATGTTATAGGCCCAACAATACATTGTGTACATATTATTTTATACAACTGTTTTTAAAATCAGTTAAGAGACCACAGGAGACAAACTATGCATTTATACTGTCTTTTATAATTACACAATTACTTTTACTAGTTTGTTTTTTTTTTTCCTGTGGATTTATGTTACCATCCGGAATTCCTTTGCTTTCATCCTGAAGAATTTCCTTTACTATTTCTTATCAGGCTGGTCTACCAGCAACCAATTCTCTCAGTGTTGTCTACCTGAGAATGTCTTTATTTTGCCTTCACTTTTGAAAGATATCTTTGCTGGTTAATGGTTTCATTCTCTGGGCACTTTGAAGGTGCTGTATGCCTGCCTTCCGGCCTTCATCATTTTTGCTGAGAAATTAGCTGTTAATTTTATTGGGGTTTCTTTTTATATGTAACACTTTTTTTTCTCTTCCTACTTTTAGTATTGTCTCCTTTTCTTTGATTTTGTACTAGGGTATATCTGATAGTAGGTCTCTTTACATGGGTCTTTTTTGAGTTCATTGAGCTTGTGATGTGTAGATTGGTGTAATATATATGGGAAATTTTCAGCCATTATTTATTCAAAAGCTTTTTTCTATTCCTTTCTCTCTCTTCTCCTTCTGGTACTCCTATTATGCATATGTTGGGCTGTATAATGGTGTCAATAGTAGCACCAGTTGTTACTGCATCTGCTAGAGACCTTCTACATTTGGGTTCAATATTTAAAACACAGAATGGTTAGGAGAACAGAATTGCCTATTCATCATGTCAATTCTTTCAGTTTTCTTGGGTTTTAAAATACTTAAAGTATAAAAGGGTGCAAGTGAATTTGGGGGTTCTTGGTTCCGTGTCATGGTTGGGGTGTCGGTTACACAATGTATGCATTGGTCAAAACCCCAGAACTACATCTAACAGTGTGAATTGTACTGTATTCAAATAATGCCTTAATTTAAAAAATACTTAAAGTAGATTTTTTTCTCCTTTTTTCTTGTATGAAGGATATAGATTTGACAACCTTAAATTTAAAAGCTCTGTGTATAAAAAACAACTCACACTGAAATTAAAAGAGTAGGAATAGACTTGAAAAAACACTGTGCCTTGTGACAGAAATAGCATTAATAATCTTATCATATAAAGTGACAGGAAAGGGAACACAGCAGTTGGATTCCAGGAGGCAAGTGGGCAAAATACATGAAGAGACAGTTTTCCCCAAAGAAGGATTATAATGAGTAACAAACCATTTCAGGAAGACATGTCATCACACAAGAAATCAAATCCATTCCAGCAAGTCAACAACCAGGGGAAATTTTTTAACTGGAAGACCCAGAGCTGGTAGGTGAGACCTGCCCTGTTGTATGTCCTCACAGCTTTCTGGAAAACAAAGTAAGATCTTTTCTTCTTTGGAGGCCACTTCTAGGAATCCAAAGAAATAATCCTAAACATGGAAGAAAGCTTCATCCTCAAAAGTGTTATTTGCAGCACTATTTATAATAGCAAAACACGTGGTG